CACTCAGTCCCAGTCAGTCGGTTATAGCCCCCCTCACTCAGTCCCAGTCAGTCGGTTATAGCCCCCCTATTCCCCTATTTACCCACAGACAGTAAGATCCCTCGCTCTGTCCCATTATCCTGGGGACTCGAAGTGTTTTTCCTGTGTGGGAGCCAGTCACGTGAGCCGGTTGGGCGGGGTTTTCTGGTCAGAGTTCTAAGCGCTCGAGTCCGTGATCAATCTTCCCAGCACCCTGTCACTGGCCAGAGAGCAGGGAACCGCCTACAGTGCATCATCTCTAGCGTTTATCGCTCTAACTACCCATGGTTACAGCACCGGAAACCGCCTCTCAGAGTCTGACGTCATCACTGTGCGACCAGCTGTGATTTCCGCTCTATCAGCAGCAGCAGCAGCAGCATGGTGAGATCCCAGCCCTAACACTCCCAGCAATGTGACTGTCACAGAGCTCCCCAGCAATGTGACCGTCACAGAGCTCCCCAGCTATAACACTCCCAGCAATGTGACCGTCACAGAGCTCCCCAGCTATAACACTCCCAGCAATGTGACTGTCACAGAGCTCCCCAGCAATGTGACCGTCACAGAGCTCCCCAGCCCTAACACTCCCAGCAATGTGACCGTCACAGAGCTCCCCAGCCCTAACACTCCCAGCAATGTGACTGTCACAGAGCTCCCCAGCTATAACACTCCCAGCAATGTGACCGTCACAGAGCTCCCCAGCCCTAACACTCCCAGCAATGTGACCGTCACAGAGCTCCCCAGCCCTAACACTCCCAGCAATGTGACCGTCACAGAGCTCCCCAGCAATGTGACCGTCACAGAGCTCCCCAGCCCTAACACTCCCAGCAATGTGACCGTCACAGAGCTCCCCAGCTATAACACTCCCAGCAATGTGACTGTCACAGAGCTCCCCAGCCCTAACACTCCCAGCAATGTGACTGTCACAGAGCTCCCCAGCCCTAACACTCCCAGCAATGTGACCGTCACAGAGCTCCCCAGCAATGTGACCGTCACAGAGCTCCCCAGCCATAACACTCCCAGCAATGTGACTGTCACAGAGCTCCCCAGCCCTAACACTCCCAGCAATGTGACTGTCACAGAGCTCCCCAGCCATAACACTCCCAGCAATGTGACCGTCACAGAGCTCCCCAGCCCTAACACTCCCAGCAATGTGACCGTCACAGAGCTCCCCAGCCCTAACACTCCCAGCAATGTGACTGTCACAGAGCTCCCCAGCTATAACACTCCCAGCAATGTGACCGTCACAGAGCTCCCCAGCCCTAACACTCCCAGCAATGTGACCGTCACAGAGCTCCCCAGCCCTAACACTCCCAGCAATGTG